AACTACATACTAGTATTTATTTTACTATTATATATATATACACACACACATGGTGGGTCGGGTGGGGTTCTAGGCGGGTCTTGTACATAGAACCCGAATCCAACCCGACCCACCGCGGGTTTTCTTTTTTAAGACCCACCCCCGACCCACCACCCACCATCACCCAAAAAAACCCGATCCATGCGGGGTGGATTCGGGTGGATATCCACAGGTCGGATTGAAATTGCCATCCCTAGTTTTGAAACACCAGAATTGATCTTTAAGACTCGCATGACCTAATTAATGCTGGCTTTACACCATCATTTTGAGGAAGCTGCTTCTGTGCGGCTTGGATTGCTCTCTAAACCTCATCTTGCCTTGGCCTGTTGAGGTCATCTTTTTCATGGCCGGAGAAAGGGCGGTGATCATCGGCGAAATCGCTGGAGTAACCAACCTTCATCATGGCCGCCGGGAAGGTCGAGTAGCCAGTCTGCCATTGAGATAAAGTATGGAGCTGTTGCCGTCGACCAAGAGAGGGAGAACTCAGGTCCGCCGCTGCTCACCGCAGGAGGAAGGGAATGAAGGCTGCCGCTTGCTGCTGTTATCCAACTGCCGCCACCCACAGCTCACACTGGTTCACAAATACGCCGAGGAAGATGGAGACCGGAGACGGAGACCATCACTGCCCGCCAGATGATGTTTTTCTTTTATTTATTTATTTATTTTAGTTTAGTTTACTTTATTTTAATTAATTAATTTTAAAAAATATTTTAAATTTGGATGACCTGTTACTAAGGGGGAAAACCTGCAAATTGGACAAATTTCTTGAAATGAGTTAGTTTAAGGACTCAATTGTAGCTTTGTTGAGTTCAGTGGCCTAATTGCATTATCGTGTACAGTTTGATGGCCTATTTGACCCTTATTCCTTTATTATAAATATAAAAGGACAATAACAATTTTATATATAGTCAAAGTTACTAACACTATTACTTAGTCGGACCAGTACCTGAAACTGGCGTCTTAGACCAACTCGGCCATCTTGACTTGTGCAAACTATTACGTTAATTATAAAAAGATCATACTCTTTTTTATCTATAATAATATTAGGACTCTATGTATATGAGTCTGTTTAGAACTTCTTATCCTTGTCACACTGTGACTCTCTACTTCTTATCATTGTCACACTGTGACTCTCTATTCTATATATTCACATCATCTGATCTCATTGTAATTAAGTTCAGAAAATATAATACAATCAGTTCTCATCTGGTAAGAGTTAGCTAGGGTTTTGTGATTCATAAAATTAAGAAGATGCAGCGCTGCGATGGCAACCTTAATTACCGTGGAGGTCAGCAACGTGGCTTCGATGATCCGTGTCAAATCTGTAAAGGTTTCGGCCACACAGGAGTCAATTGTTTTTGGCGCTATGATGATCCGTGTCAAATTTGTAAACGTTTTGGTCACACGGGAGCCAATTGTTTTTGGCGCTATGATGATCCGTGTCAAATTTGTAAACGTTTTGGTCACACGGGAGCCAATTGTTTTTGGCGCTATAATGATCCGTGTCAAATTTGCAAAAGTTTCGGTCACACGGGAGTCAACTATTTTCGGCGATATTCAGGGGCTCCGGGTTCTCAGGCTAATTTGGTGTTTCAGAATGGTTTAGTTGCTAAAACCTCGTCAAATTCTCATACTTGGGTTCCGGACACTGGAACCACAAATCATGCAACTCCGAACATCGCTGCCCTTTCTACATCGGAGAAGTACATTGGTAATGACACTTTACGTGTCGGTGACGGTATGAGTTTATCTATTAGTCATGTTGGCCATGCCTCTTTTAATACCCCTTCTAGATCATTTACATTGTCTGATATACTTCACGTTCCGCGTTTGTCTAATTCTTTATTATCTGTTCAGAAGTGTGCATCCGATAATAAAGTCTTTTTTGAGTTTCACCCCTCCTTTTTGGTTGTAAAAGATATCAATACCAAGGAAATACTTCTTCGGGGCAATAGTTCGGGGGGACTATACACACTTTCATTACCTAGTTCGTCTCCGTCAGCGTTTATTTCCGCTCGTGCCTCGGCTTCCACTTGGCACAATCGTCTAGGTCATCCTCATAACCGTGTTCTTAGCCATATACTTCGTTCTTGTTTGGTTAGTGGGTCTCGTGATAATATTCGTTGTCATAATTCTTTATGCAATGCGTGTCAATTAGGCAAATCTGCCCGTTTTCCCCTCCCCCGTGTTGCTTCCTCTAGTTCTCAAGTCCTAGATCTTATTTACACAGACATTTGGGGTCCTGTGCCCACTTTATCTACTTCTGGCTTCCGTTATTTTGTGATCTTTGTGGATGACTATTCCCGTTATATATGGTTCTTTCCTATGAAATTAAAGTCTGATCTTTATGTCATCTTTGATAAATTTCGTACTCTTGTTGAACGGTCCTTTAATTGCAAAATAAAGGCCATTCAGTCTGATTTAGGTGCTGAGTACAAAAAGTTGCATTCTTTGTTTGTTCAATTAGGAATTCAACATAGACAATCCTGTGCCTATACACATGAACAGAATGGTCGTGTTGAACGAAAACATCGTCACATTGTTGAAACTGGTCTGGCTCTTCTAGCTCATGCCTCTGTTCCTTTGAAATTTTGGAATTTTGCCTTTGAGACTGCTGTCTATTTAATTAACAGAATGCCATCTTCTGTATTAAATAACTCCAGTCCTCATCTCCTGTTACATAAATCCCCTCCTTCCTATATTTTTCTTCGTGTCTTTGGGTGTTTATGCTACCCTCATCTTCGACCATATAATCGTCATAAGATGTCATACAGGTCTTCTCCATGTGTCTTCCTAGGTTATCCTGAGTCCTTTAGGGGGTACAGATGCATGGACTTACATACTAATAAGATTTACAGTTGCAGGCATGTCAGATTTGATGAAGAAGTTTTCCCCTTTGCTACTAAAACTTCTTTGCAGGATCTATCTACTCCGTTTTCTGGACCTTGGGCGGAATCTGTTCTCAGTCACAGCACACCTATTCCTGCCGTGTCCAATGATGAGCTGCCAGAACCGCCGCTACCTGCTTCATTCGAACCAGCCGTGGTTCCTGGACAGGCTGCCTCGTCGGGTGATCCTGTGGAGCCTGTTGCTCGCCGGCGAGGCCGTCCACGTGGGCGGTCCATCAGGCCCACTGTCCGTACTCACTCTATGGCCACTCGCAGCAACGCAGATGCTCCTCTTTTTGCTCTAGCAGCTCAAGTACATCCCACGGAACCCACATGTTACTCTCAAGCTGTCAAATATCCTGAGTGGCATGAAGCTATGGACCAAGAATTCAATGCTCTCCTGCATAACCACACATGGTCTCTAGTTCCACCCACTGGAGGTATGAATATTATTGGCTGTAAATGGGTGTTTCGTACGAAGAGAAAGGCTGATGGTGCTGTTGAAAGGCATAAAGCCAGGCTGGTTGCGAAAGCTTTTAATCAGGTTCCAGGTCAGGACTTCTTCGACACTTTTAGTCCAGTGGTAAAGCCTACGACTGTAAGACTCCTTCTATCTCTAGCTTTATCATCTGGGTGGTCTATCAAACAGCTAGATGTTCATAATGCTTTTCTGAATGGTAATCTGGCTGAAACAGTTTATATGAAGCAACCCCCTGGTTATATTGATGCTAACTTCCCGAATCATGTTTGTTTGTTAAAAAGATCTCTGTATGGGTTAAAACAAGCTCCCAGAGCTTGGTTTAATCGACTACATACGTTCTTACTATCGGTTGGCTTTCAAGCATCCATGAGTCCTAATAAATAATACTCCGTAATAACTTTTCTTTTTTTTTTTTTTTTTTTTGAAGTTGGAAGCTTGTAATAAGTAATAATAAAAGAAAGGAAAAACAAAATTAAAGATAGTAATAAAAAGAAATTATAATTAGGGACCTTAGCAATGACCTAGTGATCTAGTGAGACGAAATGACTCTTCACATGCTCTGTCGGGTCGGAGTGTGGGGGACCCTCATGATTGGGGGGATTCAACGAAATGACTCTTCAAAATAGAAGGTCATGGGTTTCAGGTCCCAATAGGGGTGATATTGACTCTTTGTGCTTCAGTAGGTTGAGAAAATAGTTATGAACAGATACTATATTGTAACAAAGTGAGTAGTACTAAAAAAAATAAATTAGGGACCTTATCCATGAGATGGGTCTGGTTAAGCACAAGGTGTTTGGTATGAATAAAATGTTTGTTACTTATAAAAGAAATTGTAATAAAATTGAAAAAAAAAATGTAATACTTTAATATCAAAATGTAAAAGTATTATATTATTCTTCAAAACTATTACACATACATCCGATTAGAAATTATACACACTTTATTTTTTTTATTAAAATATTACATTTTTCAGTATAAATATTACGTGTCTGGTTCGATTAGCGAGGCTTGACTAAAATTAATTTTAATATAATTTTTCATAATATTAAGTTTAGTATTAGTATACAAAATTTATATATTTAGAAAATACACAGTACTATTAAACACAAAAAATTAAATTTTAAAATAAGTATAAATACTAAAGAAAATAAATAAAGAAGAAAGAGTTAGGTTTGACCAATGAATAGTAAGTAGGGCAGATAAAATAAGACAGAGGGTGTTTATCTTGACCTGATCTGTCTCACGTATAAGGATTCGTAAGATGGTCTCATGCAAATTTTTGTCTATAAAATAGTGGGAAAAATTGTGAATTTATGTTTGGAAAATACTATGTGTACCCTAATTTTCTACTCTCAACTTTTACTTAAACATATAAAATCTTGATGTAGACATTTGTATTGAAATCCATATAAAAAATGTAATTTATCAATACTCATTACATCAAAAAATAAAATTTAGATAGTAAAATTTGGGAATCCAGAAGTGTCAATTTCGAAAATATCAGCCGGCAACTATCAATTGTCAATTGTCAATTGTCAAAGTCTGCTGAGAGATGGTAAAACATTTTACATGTGCTTTTAGGTATCCTGTTTTCTCCCATGTGCTTTTCATGCTTTAATTTGAAATCTTTTCAAACCCTTACAATTCCACGCCATCTATTTCAACGTAACCACCATTTTAATCTCAATTCTCAATTCTCTCAAACTCTCCCCTCTTTAATCAATCTCCGGCGCCAACGCCGCTAATCGTTCTATCTCCGACGAGTATAAGTCTTCCGGCCTCCTGCACAACTAAAATGAAAAGAAACTGCGGTTTGGAGCTCTGGCTTGTTTGGAGCTCTGGCTTGTGCCACCATCTCTCTCTTTTCCGGCTAAAGATTACCAACACTTTCAACAACACCCCAAGTAAGACCAATATATATATATATATATATATATATATATATATATGTGTGTGTGTGTGTGTGTGTGTGTGTGTGTGTCTGTGTAATGCATCATTCTGTATATCCATTTATCTCTTCAACAAATTATGTCAAATCCTGATTAGGATGGGAGACATTCCGTATGGAAAGTAACAATAATATCATCAAACAAATCACAAGATACATGATATGCTGCATAAACTAAATCTGGGTATTCGATGGGATTGTAGGTTGGAAATGAATAAAATGATGAACGGAAGTACCACAAAAGAGGGACAGCAGCAGCTAACAATATTCTATAATGGAAAAGTTGTATCGTGTGATGTCACAAAACTACAGGTGTATATATATATATATATATATATATATATATATATATATATATATATATATATATATATATGTATATATATGTATATATATTCGTTTGACTTTAGGCTATTGAAAATTTTGCAAAAATTATTTTTCAATTTTCTAACAGGATCCTTATTCCTTAGTGAATATTGGTAATTATTAGTTGTCTGATTTAGGAAATGGATGGAAATGTAATAATAAATTAATTAAAACTGCAGGCTAGAGCCATCATACTGCAAGCGAGTCAGCAGAAATTGAACACGGCGGCGATGATATCGTCATTTTCCGTTCAATCTCCGCCGCCGCTGGTGCTTCAATCCCAACAAGTATGCAGTTCTTCTGGTCTCTCTTTGAAGAGATCTTTGAAGCTATTTCTTCAAAAGAGAAAAAATAGGGTCCATGCAGCATCTCCCTATAAATCCTATCGTCGCTAGTAATAATCTCAATAATTATTACTCATTTTCATGAATCAAAATCGTCTCCTATGAGTATTATTGTCTCAAGATATAGAACAAACTCCTGTAACCCACCATCATGAAATATAGAGTATGTCTATTAGGACTATTAGGACTCTATTATCCATATTAGACTAGGACTATATTATTCGTGTTAGACTAGGATTCTATCTAGCATCTCTATATATTCGCTCCCTGTACTCTCAGACATTATTATTGAATACAACACAATTATATTCTCATCTGGTATCAGTTAGCCAGGGTTTTCTTTTCCAACATCCATGTTCCTCACAACGTAGCAGTAGCCGATGGCATCAAACCAAGATACATCGTATCAGAAACGGTCCGGTCAACGATGTGACGTTGATGATCCGTGTCAAATTTGTAACGGTTCCGGCCACACAGGAGCCAATTGTGTTTGGCGTTATGATGATCCGTGTCAAATTTGTGACCGTTTTGGTCACACGGGAGCCAATTGTTTTTGGCGCTATGATGATCCGTGTCAAATTTGTGACCGTTTTGGTCACACGGGAACCAACTGTTTTCGGCGTTATTCAGGGGCTCCGGGTTTTCAGGCTAATGTGGCCGTCTCTGGTGATAATAGTGATTCCAACGGTCCTCATCAGTGGTTCCCTGACACTGGTGCTACAAATCATTCAACGCCTGATTCTTCTTTGATGACTTCTGCGACAAGTTATGATGGCCCGGAGACTCTGCGAGTCGGCAATGGTACAGGTTTGCCTATTGTTAATGTTGGTTCTGCTTCGTTAGCCACTGATTCTATGTTTTTTAAGTTACATGATGTTTTGCATGTCCCTGGTCTCTCTTCTTCTCTATTATCTGTCCAGCGTTTTGCAAAGGACAATAATGTTTTCTTTGAGTTCCACCCTCTTTGTTTCTATGTGAAAGACATTTTGACCAAGAAGGTTCTTTTTAAGGGACATGCGTCTGGGGTCTCTACACATGGCCTGCGTCTTCTGCTTCCCCTGCTGCATTTGTTGCTGCACGATCCTTTTACGTTTGGCACATGCGGTTGGGGCATCCTCATTCTCGAGTCTTACGTAAAATTTTAGCGTCTTCGTCTGTTGGTACATTTAATTCTAGTGATCTTCCCAATGTCTGTTCCTCTTGTCAATTAAGAAAATCTTCTCGTTTTCCTTTGTTTCGTGTCGAAACTACTAGTACGTATCCTTTGGAATTAATTTATTCAGATATTTGGGGCCCTGTGCCATTACTTTCTGCGTCTCGCTTTAAATATTTTTTGTTGTTTGTGGATGATTACACTCGTTATATGTGGTATTATCCCATGCGTGCTAAATCTGATTTGTATGCTATATTTGATAAGTTTTGGTCACTAGTTGAATGTTTCTTTTCTCGCAAGATTATTTCTTTTCAATCTGATTTAGGGGAAGAATATAAAAAGCTTGGTTCCACTCTTGCGTCCTTAGGTATTCGTCACAGGCAATCATGTGCGTATACTCATGAACAAAATGATAGGGTAGAACGTAAGCATAGGCATGTTGTTGAAACGGGACTAGCATTAATGGCTCAATCCTCTGTTCCGTCTCGTTTTTGGGATTATGCTTTTGAAACTGCGATTTATCTAATCAATAAAATGCCCACTCCTGTCTTATCTGATAAATCTCCTCATTATCTTTTGCATCGGTCTCCTCCATCTTATTCATATCTGCGTGTTTTTGGGTGTTTATGCTTTCTAAATCTGCTTCCCTATAATCGCAACAAACTACAGTTTCGGTCATCCCCTTGTGTCTTTCTAGGATATCCTCCATCATTTCGTGGCAATCGTTGTTTAGACACTAACACTAACAAGGTTTTTATCTGTCGCCATGTGCGATTCGATGACGCTGTCTTTCCTTTTGTTGCTTATGTGGATTCGCAGGTTCCAAAACCACGCCCGGAGCCGTGGGGTGTTGCACCAATTGTTTCTGGTGGTGATCCGACTATTGTCACGGCTCGTGACCCTCCTGCCGCGCCCATAGCCGCTTCTGACCACCACCGCCAGCAGCCTGCTACTGCCGAGCCCGTGACCGAGTCCGAGCGGACAGTCACGGACCAGCCGGCTCCTCGGCCAAGAGGCCGGCCTCATGGTCGGTCTCGTCACGCGCCCTCACCCATTCGCTCTCGTGGAATGAATACGAGAAGTTCGGGACCACATGATCATGTTGCTTTATCTGCTGCTGCTGTTACTCCTGAACCTACATGTTTTACTCAAGCGGTTAAATTTCCTGAATGGCGGGATGCAATGGATTTGGAATTTAATTCCTTGGTGCACAACATGGAGGCTTGTTCCCTTTAAATCAAGTATGAATGTAGTTGGATGTAAGTGGGTGTTTAGAACCAAGAGAAAGGCTGATGGTTTGATTGAGCGTTACAAGGCTCAGTTAGTTGCCAAGGGATTCAATCAAATTGCCGGCGATGATTTCTTTGAGACCTTTAGTCCCGTTGTTAAACTGACTACGGTACGTCTTCTTTTATCTTTAGCTATTTCTTGTGGATGGACTATTCGACAGTTGGACATACACAATGCTTTTCTAAATGGCAATCTCGCTGAGACGGTTTATATGCGCCAGCCCCCTGGTTATGAAGACAAAACGATGCCCGGGCACGTTTGTCTCCTTCAACGTTCTTTATATGGGCTTAAGCAAGCTCCTCGTGCTTGGTTCACTCGTTTGCATGATTTTCTGGTTTCTGTTGGTTTCTCACCTTCCAAGACGGATGTCTCTCTATTTATATATTCACATGGCAATACTCGTTTATATTTTCTGGTTTATGTGGATGATATTTTGGTTATGGGATCTGATCCGGCTCATGTGACTGCTCTTATTGACAAGTTGGCTCTTGAGTTTAAAGTTCGTGATATGGGTGTGCCCTTGTTCTTTCTGGGTTTTGAGACCATTCCGTTGTCTGATGGCATGCTTCTGTCTCAACAACGGTACATGAAGGATATTCTAAAACGAGCAGGTATGGTTGATTGCAAGTCCGTGGCTACTCCGATTTCAACCACGAAGGCCAAGACAGATGTCGTGGTACCATACGCTGATCCCACTCAGTATCGCAGCTTTGTAGGTGCTCTGCAATATCTTACGGTAACTCAGCCTGATCTTTCCTTCCTATGCAGTCAATCGTTTGTATCAACACATGCACTCTCCCTCTACTGCGGATTGGGCGGCTCTCAAGAGGGTGTTACGGTATGTAAATGGGACACTACATCTTGGTCTTAAGATTACGTCTTCTCCTTCTCTAGATATTCATGCATATTCTGATTCAAATTGGGCTGGCAATCCTGATGATCGCAAATCTACTAGTGGTTTTGCTGTATTTTTGGGGACCAATCTTGTCTCATGGGTTTGTCGAAAACAACGTACTGTGGCTCGTTCATCAACTGAGGCTGAATACAAAGGATTGGCTGATGTCTCTGCAGAGGTTACTTGGCTCATCTCTCTAATGAAGGAAATCGGGTTTGCGCCACCTTCTGTGCCCAAACTCTGGTGTGACAATCTGGGAGCTACTTATCTATGTGCTAATCCGGTGTTTCATGCTCGCACCAAGCACATTGAGATCGACTACCACTTTGTTCGTGATAAAGTCGCGAAGAAGGAATTACAAGTCAATTTTATTTCTACCAAAGATCAGATAGCGGATATTTTTACTAAGTCTCTTTCGTCTGTATATTTTAATTTACTCCGTTGCAAGCTCAATGTTTTGGCTGACCAACCTTGTGCTTGAGGGGGAGTATTAGGACTATTAGGACTCTATTATCCATATTAGACTAGGACTATATTATTCGTGTTAGACTAGGATTCTATCTAGCATCTCTATATATTCGTTCCCTGTACTCTCAGACATTATTATTGAATACAACACAATTATATTCTCATCATGTCAACTATATTAGCTATGTACAACTATATTAGCTATGTACAACTAAAGTGTACAACTATAGATATTATTATATTTAGGAATTTTAAAGTGACTGTATGTATGTATAATTTCTAGATATTTAAATTATTCGAGTTACTTTGTTCTATTTTCAATAGCTAGAAGATAATAAAAATTAGTGAAAACAACATTGTTCGTCCTTAATTATAAGAGGACAACACTTTGATATTTTACCCTCTCAATTATATATGTCTTACTTTTAGGTTTTTTTCATTTGCACAGAGAGTCAATGCACTCACACTAAGATTTGAACCTGAGACCTTTCATTTAAAGGGTCATAACTATACTGGTCAACCACAAGGTCTTTGAGATTATTTTTAATTTCTTAATTTTTCTCAAATCGAAAAATAGCAATGGTATAATTGAAGGAAGATTTTTTTTTTTTTTTTTTTTTTTGGTGTACATATTAATGGCCTCGAGATTTAAGACTCCCTTAACATTTGGTTAATGATGAATGTGTCTCTTTCACTCAAACACAACCCCCAAGTTAAGTGTTATTGGTATATACTAACAAAACTAACTCTAATCCTAAAATGAAGTTGATGAGTTTTTATCAATCATTATTGTGTGGACCATGGTCCACACAAGTTGTGTGGACCATATTTTGTCTACTGTAAAATAATATACATTCAGTACAAAAATAATGTATATTCATACAAAAATAATATACATTCAGTATAAAAATAATGTACATTGTATTCAAGGTATGTACATTATTTTTGTTCTAAGTGTACATTATGTTGTATAATGTACATTCAGTATAAAAATAATTTACATTTAGTATATTAAAAATGTACTTATTGTTATGGTCCACATAACATTGTGTGGACCATGATCCACACAATAATTTGCCAATTTTTATTATCTGGTTAATAAAATTAATAAAATCTTAAGCCATTTCATCAAAATGGGTCAATGTTAAAAATTAATTACAAAGAGTGTTACCCTAGCTGAGTTGGTAACACTTTTAATTGGTTTGGTAATTACAAGGTTTCAAGTTATAGGCTAGTTTATTCGTAATTTTTTGATAGCTAGGATCAAAAGGTGGGGTTATCCCGTGCACACCATCGAATAGTGATTGCAATATTCCCTCACCACCAAAAAATAAAAAATTAATTGCAATTCTACTTACATTTAAAATTTTGGTATTGCATTACTATAATCCACGTACAAAACTTAAACTTTCAACAGAAAAAAAAAAAAA